ATATTGCGCTCCTCGCAGAGGTAAATCCATGAGTCCTAAATCTAGTATGGTTTTTGAGAAGTTCTCCATAGCTCTACTCCTTCTATGACAGTTGAATTTTTCGTAGTCAAATCTGCACATATTGAAATCTCCTCCCAACACCCATTGACCATCCCAAGTGCCCCTAATCGAGGCTAGTTCATACCAAAGATCCTCCCTTTCGCTGTTTGTATGTGGTCCATACACTCCTGTATAGCACCATCTGAATTGTTCCTGGACACTCTAAAATTACAGAGACCGAGTAGGTTCCTGGTTCAATGTTGACACTTTTTCCAGAACCTTTTATCCCACAAAATTATGATCCCCCCCCTGGTACCGTTTGCTTGTAATTCTGCCCAGCTGGCCCATCTATTCCCCCAAAGAGAATTGACTAGTTGTTGTGACCAATCCTCAATTTTAGTTTCTTGAAGACAAACTATGTCAGCCTTCCACTTCATTAATAGAGACTTAATGGTACTCCGCTTCCTACTGTCATTCAGACCCCTGACATTCCAACTGAGAATTTTTATTATAAGAATTGTTCTTCTAGACTATTTATAGATGTAGAAAACCACAAATAAAATAACTGAGTCCAACATAAATTGGGAAACCTAAAACCCAATTGAATTTGGTTTCTGCGTTGCACGTGTTTCTAGGAAAAAATGTTGTCGCCTCCGTAATTTCCTGCCGCATCTTCAGAGCCAGTCACGTGGCAACATGTAAGTCAACCTTCTCTTTTAATTTCGCATAATGGTGCAGCATATGGATAGATATAAATATTAATATTATATTAACTTTTTTGGATTAAGTTGCATGCTTGATTTTCATATATAATTTCTTGTTCTAAATTTATTGTTCTTCATCTTCACACCTTTTTAATCTTATACATTAAATACCCAATATAAGAATAATTCATAAAATTCATGCTAAAAAACAATAATAAAGAGCTAAAATGTGAGGTAAATAGTAATTGAATATATCTCTCTCTCTCTATATATATATATATATATTTTGGCCTCATATCAGCTAGTCAGTTATTATAGTCTCTGAACTAGCCATTAATGCAGGCTGGAGAGACAGCTTTTAAAATTGAAAAGCTCATTAAATGTTCTACTCAACTGTCCTTCAAACCTACCGCCAGACTACCCAATAAAGACTACCCTTACGCAAAGGTGGTTAAGGATAGTAAATGGCAAACCCAACCTCCATCAATTAGAGGGTCTTTTTGGAAGATGCTTAACGGGGACTTTTGGTAACCATGAATGGCCAACACTTTCTAATGTTCAAAGGTAGTCAACTTCTATGTGGAAGAAAACTTCTGGGGTTAACATTTACGTGATGGCCAGGAACAGCTTCCTCACTGAGTTTCGTAACAGGAACATAGCTAAGCAAATTCTGCAAGAAGACTGAGCCTGGAAAAACTTTAAGGTCAGGATGGACTGGTGGAATCCTTTTGTTGGTTGTATATGTAACCCCCTGTACCTCTACACCAACATACGACTAGTCAAACATCAACATATTTGTGTGAACTCGGGAGAATAAGGTTGTAAATGGGTAATTATAGCAGGAACCAATATATGAAGGTGCTGAAGTATCAAACCAAAGTTAAGAGGCTATAGAGAGCCATAAAACAAAAGTTCAGATTGAAGGTTGCAATGCGGCCTTAAATCTGAACAATTGTTATCCTTCGGGGTGCCCAGTGGTTTGGGTTTGGGACTTCCATGTTGGAGGTCTCAAGTTTGAAACCCATGGCCACCGAAAGCAAGGGGTTTGTTTGCCTTCTGGGTCGAGCTCGTCACACCGAGCTTGCCTAGTGCGGGTTACCTCTCCTGTGTGGTTTGAGAGCTATTGTATAGGAGCGGGGGTTTTACCTTGTGTGCATCCAAAGAGTAGCGGCTGTGGGTTTTCCTTGTCATAAAAAAAAAAGTTGCAATTGCGGAGGATTATTTCAAGTGATCCCAGACGTGGTCTGACTTTAAACAAGCATATCTCCCAATATATGAATTGTTTAAGGTTGTACTACCTATCAAATTAAAGAACTACGAGTCTAGTTCCCAATAAAACAAACCACTCGTCAATTCGATTTCTACATCAAAAGTTATGGACGATTTAAGAACAAACTATTGGAAGGATTTTCACTTATGGCCACCCCCACTCAACAGACAGACCAAATGTGAAATGTACGGTACGTACACGTAAGACTCCAGCCGTAAGTGGGAGGCAGTGGAGGCCTTTTTAAGGCAAATCAGACTTTTTCAGTCCTTTTCCAACTTATTAAATCTCAATCAGTTCCAAGGGGTTCCTAAATCCTCTCCTCACCTCTCCATAATTAAGTGTTTCCAAAGATTTCCAACAATTAATCTTTCCTCCATATCACATGATGCTACTATTAAGCTTTTCTTCTTTTTTAGTTTCTTGAAGGAGTTGTTTTGAGAAAGTTTGTGAAGTAAGACTGGATATCTTCGCTTTCCTCTTAATCTATGAGCTCATAGGAGCACTTTACATGTGTTTTGACAAGAACTCACGAGACAGTGATTGTAAGTCGTAAAGTTCAATTGTAACTTGTTGTGTAAGGATGTTTATGAATTGTTTTATGTATTGAGGATCCCGGGAAGTGCCAGGAGACCTTCTTAAAAGGTCATGTGAGGTTGTTGATGTGGTTAAGGAAGGAGATATGGAGAAACTTCTCAATAATGCGTCCTACGAGCTTGCCACTCACCTAATGGTCAATTGCCTATGTGACCTGGGCATGTTGTTGGGCCGTTTGTAATAGTTATATTACTTGTCGCTCTTATAGATTGACACTGAAAAGGAGTGTTTTGGTAGTCATAGGATGCTAGGATTGGAAGCTAAATCTTTTTTTAGCCGCTATGGCATGATCTCCCCGTCACCTATTTACTCTCTTATCAACCATGAGGTCGTAGATGATTAAATACATGAATTTATATGCTATATGCTTCATGTTCACGTACTTCTTTCAATTGTTTGCATTCCTATTGTTCGGACTTAGGAGTTTCCATATATTCGTATATTGTTAAAAAAAGTTCCTCTTAGTTCAAACGTTTGTTGTCATAAGTGTTGAAATGGAGTCCCTCCAAGAAGTAAGTCGTACGACCCCTATTCTTAACTAAGCTTAAAGTACGAAAAAGATATACCCTCCATGTGTGATGTCATTAAGTGTCATGTACTCTTCTTAAGCATAGTCTTCATTGACCTATCCTTTCATGCTATATGTTCTGGCAAAGTAAGTCCTAGAGCTTAAGGAATCGCTTACGATCATAAATAAGCCAAGTATAATACATTATAGAGATTAGCATATATGCTTAATGGTCGTCCATAGTTTGAAGGACATAGAATAAAAGCGATGTAGATGCATTACCTTATAAGCATGTTTAAATTCATGAACGTCGTCTATTATGTGAAAGGTGATATATATTGTGCCTTGTCTTCAATTGACCTTAGGCCTTAACTAGAAGACTAAGTGGCGAGGTAATAGATGCCCCTCTTATGTGCCTTATGTGTCTTATGTGACTTGTGCTTCCACGCCAGGATATTACGAAAAAAGGTTGGTTACAACTAAAACATGTTAACAATAAGATAGCATACAAATGGCTAGATACCTGAAAGGTTGTAAATCATTACATACAAACAGAACATGGGCCATGAGTGTCAGCTACACCTGTGTGCATATGTGAAGCATCTCAACCCTATATATATGTGAAGCATTCCCTATGTGATACTTCTCACGTGTATGTGTATGTGACACTTCTCAGTTCAGTGCATTAATGTGATCACATTCAGACAGGAGAGCTAGCCGACCTCCCCTTGTGTGATGCCACAAGGGTCAGGGTTTAGCTTACCCACGCTCATATTGTTTGCTGAGGAGAAAGTTCACTCCTCGTGCATGTTGGCAGATCTCATCTACGCATGACCACAATTACATGTTTATTGGAATTAGGCGTGTTGCCAGATCCACATAAGCAAGGCCATTGTGTGAAAAATCCATTCAACTCAGAAAAACCATTTCTTCAAAAATAACTCAGTTATCAGCTTACATCAATGTTCATTCTTTATATGCTTTTCATGTTTGCTTGTTTAACATTTTACCTTGTTTGTTATTTCTTACCCCAGAAATTCTAGCTCCACTTTTCTAGGAGGTAGTCTATCAGACTTACTGGGTATTCTGTAGGTGATACTTAGCCCGAGTGGCCCCTGCTTCCACTTTCTTAGATGAAGATACTGCAGACCACGTTCCAGATGCGATGTTCAAACTCAAGATCAGCTTACTTCGCCCTCTTCTTAGGAGGGAAGTCGTACTTTATTATGTTATGTTAGAAATATTAGTATTCCAGAGATTGCCCAAAAACATTATGTAGTCAGTATTCTTAAGAGGCTCATGACTTATCCTACTGGGTGTTAGTTTGTTTTATAGTACAACTTTAGCATTTATTTATCTTGTTGAACAGGAAACAACTTTGTATTATAAACCAGTACTTAAGTAAGTACTGAAAAGACCCTATACAAAAAAAATGGTAAGGAAGTAATAAAAAACTGAAGCAAATATAACCCTAACATGAATCAAAAACTTCTAGGATTGTCTCTGTATCATGAGAAAAGGTCTTTGTACACCAAAATAGCAGAAATCAGTTGAGCTTGATCTTCTGTATTGTGCTACTTCTATTCTCAAAACATCTGGCATTTCTTTCTCTTCAGACGATCACCTTTTAACAATTTGTTACACAACTTAGTTATGATAATTACGTTGGCCCTGGATATTTCAGTTATGTTAATTATGCTGTCCCTTCCCGATAATTCAGACAATTTAGTTAGATTATTTATTAGTCAGCTAAACACAGGGTTACCTCATCAGACAGTAAGTGTCGGGTAAGTTCCAAAAGATGGAATACGAGCACTGATCAGCCTATTATTGTAGACATTCAACAGAAAACACATCTAATCAGAATAAAGAGAAAGATAATCACCTCGGTTGAACCAGTTCTTGGATTGGGAGTTTCTACAGGACCTGGGCAAACTACAGTAACCTTGATTCCTTTACGACAGAGCTGCACAGGGAAAAGAAATAGATGAATGCTAAGATAAATAAAAGCAAGAAGATGATAATAACAAGGCTCTTGATCATTTATGAGGGGTATTGAGGAAGCTAGAATAATAATGATAATATTATGGATGTTGGAAACAAACACCATACTGGACCAAATTCAGCTACCAGCTTAAGAGGACATCTTCTGTTATGTATATATGAAACTTTCATACTTGAATAATTTCATTGATTGGTGGTGATGAGACACAACACCCCTCGAGTCCTTAAAAAATTGAACCTGCTTGTAGATCAATAGTGCCTACCAGATATAATGAGATCTGACTTCTGTCAACTGTCAAACAAGCTGCTCTGTTTTGGTGAATGGGTTTTAGGATATGGTTATACATTGAATACACTCCAATGAGGATGCCTTCAAAGATGGAGGGAAACGACAGTAATGCTGAGAAGGGAGGAAGAATAGGGGGTAGGAGAGGCAGGATGGCTGTTAGGGGGGGTCGTCTTTCACCAAAAGCCTTGGAACTTGGAAGGGAGGCAAATCATTGAGAAGAAGAAAGAGGCAACGGAAGTTTTGAATTGTGGAAAGGAAGAAAAGCTCTCAGAAGGTGAAAAGACAGAATTACCCTTGGATTAGTGAACCAGTTTGGAGGGGCATATTGAACCGGTTCACTACTCAGAGAAAGTCTAATGGCCAGATTGCAAGTAACATAACCAGGAATACAAGTTTGAATTGGCAGATCACTTTGAAAGAGAAGAAGAGCCAAACACCTACTATTCCGGCGCCGAAAATCAAGCAAAAGTGGAAGGAATTGGCTATGCCAATCTCAAATTACTTTGTCAACGCTGTGAAGGACCTGGGTTTTCTGTTTCATGCGTGGGGGAGCAGCAGAAGGTCACAACTTCTGTTTCAGGTGTGTCGGAATCTGCTTCTGGCGAACTCGGAAGTTACATATCAGGGGTGGTATGGAGTCATTTTGACCAGACGATGGGTGTCGGGTTCTGGGAAGTCTACCTCTGGTTAGCCTTCTGTGCTGGATCTGATGCTGGAGTTCATCCGGCGACCTTGCCGGTGCTGGAAATAGGGTCTGTTAATGCCGGCATTGTTCAGTTGGCTCCTTTTCTTCCAGAAATGAGTGGAAAGGGAGTGGGAAGTAGCCGAGGGTCCTGTATAAAATCAAAATGTCATTATACACAGTGGGGGAAGGAGCTGACTGTCATTTTTCAGCTAATTCACCACTGATGATTGGCACTGGCAGCGGGTGTAAAGACATACAGATAGAAGATGTGATATCGTTAGCTTGTGTCGAGGACAAATGAAATATGACAGGTGGGGTGGGGGAAAAATACCTTAGATTTGGAGAAATTTTTTGGGGTGTTATTTGAAGGGAAGGAGAGGAAGGTGTTAGATTTGCTCAGGTATATTGAACTAGAGGCAAAACAAGATAGGGAATGGGAGAAGACTGTAGGGAGAGGAGTGATAGAAGATTGGGGAAGGAGAAGGAGGGGGGAGGTAAAATGATAGTGTATGAGAGGAGATGTAGAAGTAGGGAAAGGAGTGGTGCTATGGGGGAGAAGAGGAGGGGCGATGAGGGTAAAAATTTTGTCCATGGAAGTTAAAACCACTACATAGAACGTCAAAGAAGGGAGGATTGGGGGTCGAATCTCTTGTGTCTTCAGGAGACGAAAGTAGAAGTAATGACAGACAAGGTTGCTAGAAGCGTATGGGGAACAGTAGGTGAAGTATGATTGGGTTCCAGTCATAGGTAATGCAAGGGATATAGTAATCTTAAGGGATGAGAGAAAAATAGAGGTGATGGAGGTAAGTAAGAGGCAGTTCGTGACTATCATGCTTGATGGGAGTAGAAGGAGGAACATGCACACCCCTTTCAAGTTCGAGAACATGTGGCTTCAGGTGTTAGACTTTAAAGAAAGAGTATATGGGAGGTCGAATGGATATGAAGTTGTAGGCACACCCTCGTTCCAATTTGCCAGCAAATTAAAATTGCTAAAAGAAGATATAAGGAGGTGTTTGGAAATGATAGAAGTTAAAATGGACTCAACTAACGTGGTGGGGGAAATGGAGCGGGTGGAAGGGTTGAGAGAGTTAGACGAGGGGGAGTATTAAGAAAGAGGAGGCGAAGAGAGAGATAGCCACTTTAGCAATAGCTCGAGAGGTTAGTTGGAGACAAAAATCGAGGGCGTTGTGGTTGAAAGAAGGGGATTCAAACACATTTTTTTCATAGGGTTGCTGTAGAAAATAGGAGGAACTTCATTGAATCTTTAGAAGTGAATGGAGTAATATTTGAAAGGGAAAGGAAGTTAAGGGGGTTGTTGTGGTAATGAACTGTTACTTAAAGAAGATATTAGCTGAAGACTGAAGCTTAGGGGAATAGTGCTTAGTCAATTAGGGGAGGGGATGAGGGAGTGGTTGGACATGACTATTTTAGAAGAAGAGGTAAGGGATGCTATTTTGACTAGTACAGGAGACAAGGCCCCGAGATTGGATGCTTCACTATAGTTTTTTTTTTTTTATTATAACCGAGAAATCCGTCTGTGACCCGCCCTTTGGACCAATCACAACCTTCTAAACTCGGTGGATAATGGGCCCACCCCTCTACCCTTCTCCACTTAAATATTGGCTTCGCTTTGCATGGTGTGGGGCTTGAACCTGCAACCTAAGCCACAAATCCTCCACCTTTTGCCACTCGAGCTAGGCCTTAGGGGCCACTCTAGCTTTTTTCCAACACTGTTGGAGGATAGTTGAAGGGGAGTTGATGGAGACTATTGCAGAATTTCAAGAAACTGGAGAGTGAGAAAAGTCTTAATGCATCTTTCATTACCATTGTGCCGAAGAACGAAGGAGCGCGATAAGCATCAAAGATTATAGGCCTATTAGTCTGGTGGGAAGCATCTATAAGATCATCTCTAAGGTGCTTTCTAACAGACTAAAAAGGTACTGGATGAGACAGTTTCATCCTCTCAAAATGCTGTTGTCGAAGTAACACAGATCCTTGATGCAGATTTAGTGGCAAATGAAGTGGCTGACTCCAGAAGGAAGAAAGGAGAGTCGCACATTTTATGTAAATTGAATCTTGAGAAAGCTTATGATCATGTGAATTGGGAGTTTCTAGACTTCATGATGCAAAAGATGAGGTTTAGGGATAAGGGGAGGAAATGGGTTAAAGTTTGCATCTCTACTGCCAGATTTTCTAGTTTGGTAAATAAGAATCCTTGTGGTTTCTTTGGGAGCTCGAGCGGGTTAAGACGGTGGGATCCTTTACTCCAATGCTATTTACTTTGGTATTGGAAGCACTGAGCAAAATGATTGATAGGGCAGTTACCGGAGGCTTTTTGAAGGGTTTCGATGCTTCATTGGAGAGCAGAGTGATATGACTGTCACACATCTCTTATTTGTGGATGATACCTTGGTGTTTTGTGATGCAGAGGTCTCCCAACGAAATTATAGCTAGATTACTTGAGACAGATACTTATATGTTTCAGGTTGTGTCAGGCCTAAAGATCAATTCAGGAAATATGAAATCACTCAAGTAGGAGAAGTGGTTAATATGGATGAGATTGTGCAGGTGTTGAATTGTAAGGCGGGCACATTACCTACTACATACTTGGGTCTACCATTGGGTGCTTCGAACAAAGATCTATCAGTGTGGAATCCGGTGATTGAGAGAGTTAAGAAGCAGCCAGAGGGGTGGCAAAAGAGATACTTCCCCAAAGGTGGGAAGGAAGTATTGATCAGAAGTACTTTATCTAGCATCCCCACATAAATGTCACTCCTGCAGGCTCCTTGTAAAGTGACAGAAAAGATGGAAAGACTTTAGTGGAAAATTCTATGTAACTCAACGGAGGGATATAAAAAGTTTCACTTAGTGATTGGAGAGTTGTCACATCTCCAAAGGAATGGTGAGGACTTGGTGTGAAAGATCTCAGGTTCAACAAAGCCTCGCTAGGAGAAGTGGTTATAGAGGTTTGGGGCGGAGGAGAATGTGTTTCGGAGGGGGGTGGTAGCAGAAAAGTATGGCATTTTGGAAGGTGGGTGGAGGACTAAAAATATCACAACACCTTTTGGGTATGGTTTATGGAGGAGTATTATGAAGGGATGGGAAGACTTAGGTAGACATACTTCTTCCGGAGTAGGGGATGGCAGAAGTATTAGTTTCTGGACACACAAGTGGTGAGGGGAGGATGAGCTGTGGGAAGTTTTCCCTAACATATATAGAGTGTCTTGCCAAAGAGAGATGACAGTCCATCAAGTTTCGAGGTCTCACGAGGAGGAAGTTCATTGGGATCTGAGGTTCAGGACGAATCTACAGGACTGGGAGTTGGAAGAATTTTAATAATTTGGTTGAGTTACTGTATGGGGAGGATCTGCTTAGTGATAGATGAGATGTATGGAGATGGCGAGAGAGTAGAGCAGTCTTATCAAAGGTGCGCTTAAAGCACGCTTAAGCCCTGAAGCAAGGCTCAAAACATGTTGAGCACTTCACCTCACTTAATGTGCGCTTTAGTGTCGTCATCAAAGTTCTAAGACATACTTTTCTTTGTCAATGAACCTCTTCTAAAGCGATGACACTAAACAATTGCTATTTCATTTTATCGTTATTATTTTTCAATTTCTTTGTTCATATATTTGTCACGCTTTTAAATTATTAGCCTTGGACTAAACATATTATTGTATTTTTTCTCCCCTTGCGCCTTTTTTCATTAAAGCCCATGTTTTATTTGCGCTTAAAGCCCCAACGGAACTTAGAGCTTTTCTGCAATTTTTTCTTTTGATAACACTGGAGTAGAGATGGCTAATTCACTTTTAAATAGTATTATGAGAGGTTATTAACAAGAGTTGAATGTATTTTCCCTCGTTGTGCTATTTAAGTACCCAGGGGTCCGAGGAAGGAGTGTTTCTTTGCGTGGTTGGCAGCAAGGGTGTGATATTGACAGCGGAAAACCAGACAAAAAAGAAGATCAACTATTTTAGTTGGTGCTTCCTGTGCAAAAGTTTGAGTGAAGATGTGGATAATTTCTTGTTGCATTGTCAAGTGGCTAACCTTTGTGGAGAGTAATTCTTAATTGGTTTGGGGTGCGATGGGTGATGCCAAGAACAGTGAAGGAGGCTTTGCATAGCTGGGTTATAGGAGGGGAAAGAGGAGTCCTAGGGCTTGGAAGGTTCCCCGCTAGAACTGTTGTGGTTATTTGGAGAGAGAGGGAAATCGGAGAGTGTTTGAAGGGGTTGAACAAGATATTGTAAAGTTGCAAATAGTCTTCTATTTCTAGTTTGCTTTTGGTGTTCCCACGAGACCCAAGTTTGACTAGAAGATTGGGCCTCTTTTTTTGAGATTCATGTTTCGATGTAGGTTCTCTTTTTGGGTATGCAGCTTGTATATGGGGGGTTTTCCCCAATCATCATATATCATATATAAAAGAGAACCCTACGCCCACCTACGTGGCGCCACCACAAACAAGGATTCCTTTTTAATTTATTTATTTCCAAAATTAGCCTCCCCTTTCATGAAAAATTGTGACTGTTATTAAAAGTTGCGACTTTTATGAAAAGTTGCGACTTTTATGAAAAGTTGCGACTTTTATGAAAAGTTGACTTTTATTAAAGTTGTGACTTTTATGAAAAGTTGCGACTTTTATGAAGAGTTGCGACTTCTATTAAAAGTTGTGACTTTTATGAAGAGTTGCGATTTTATGAAAGGTTGTGACATTTCCGAAGAATTGTGACTTCTCCGAAGAGTTGTGACCTTTCCGGTAAGGCACAATAAGCATTTGTTCACACTACCCTTTGTTGTCTATAAATAGAGGGGTTCCCTCTCATTTTAAAACAATGAAAATTCTGAACTTCTTCTTCTTCTGCACAATTAAATATTTGATTCTGAACTTCTTCTTCTTCTTCTTCTTCTGCACAATTAAATATTTGTGTACTTTGCTCATGTTGAGTGGCTCACTGACACTATTGTTTTTGTATCATTACACTGGTGAATAAAATCGTTTCATCCTGAGAGGATCTATTTCTTTAAACCTCGGGTACTAGAGGGGGATGATTTCATTAAGGAAACACTGTGCATTCAATGAGCTCGATTTTTCCTTTCTGTTTCATTCTATTGTTACAGTTCCTGGTATGTTTTTTTTACAGTCATTAATTTATTAATTTATGCTTATGATATTAATTGTTGTTTTTGAGTACATGTTTTAAACTTTGTTGTTTATGTTTCTGTAAAGTTATTGTTATAAGTATTTGTTAGTACAGACTCTATGTAAATCCAATTACTACAAATTCACAAATAACTTTTTACAGAATACATTTCTTTACAACATTCTCCAAGAGATCAAGCCTATAAATTTATATGTTTTTTGTTGTTGTCATAATAATGTTAATATTAACAGGAGTAAAAAAAAAAAATAGAAACTCAAATGATAGAACTAAAACTAGCAATTAATTACAATTGTATGATACACAATAATGGCCATTCTCTCGCACCAAAGTACTCTTTTGAACTTTTTTCCCATTATCTCTTACTTCTCTTTCACCCTTTTCAAGGATCCTTAATGTTTTATTCGTGAACAACTTCAATTCCCAAACACCATCATAACTATATTACATATGAAATTTGTATTTTGGAAGATTGCATTTTAATTTTAAAACACATAATGACTACATATTACTTATTGGTATATCATATGATTATGGAACCTTTGCTCTTGATAAACACATTAGTTATATATTTTTTTTTATTTTTTATTTTTTTATTTTAAAAAAAAAAAAAAAAAATTTGAAAGTAATTGATAGTGTTATACTAACGAAATTTGCAAAGAAGAAAATTGAGAAAAATATTTATTTGACTCTCTAATTAAAGACACTATGTAACCATGCATATAGATGATAAAACTAAACTAACCATTGTAAAATTTCAAAATCAAATTAATGAATCTGTAAAATGAAATTATGTAAACTTGGAGAAAATAGTGTTATGATTTGTAATTTTGCCTTTTCTTTTAATAAAACAAATGGTAAACTACAATTGAATAACCTCTATACTCTTGAAAATAGATTTATATAAAATGCTATAACATCAAAATACAAGAAAAGTCTATTCTAATAAATTTTAAAGAAAAATAATCTAACCGCGCGAAGCATGGGCCCATTTACTAGTTGTTAATAAAATTGTTTACCTTATCAAAAAAAAATATGCATACCTCAGAACGCAAGGAGTGGAAATACCCATTTACTGCAAATTTAGAAGCCGAGTATACCGCCTGACCTGGTGCAGGAGTCTTTCCAGCTGCACTGCTCATCTAGATATAAATAAATCAAATGAATATTTTTTACCATCACCTCATCAAGGGGTATATAAAGTACAGAAAACTAAATTTCTTGCACATATTAATAATGGAACAGAACGATTACAAAAGTGGAGAAACTTTCCATAGTCCTGCCACGAGGGCATACTAAAAAGCAACCACCTGATTAACATAAGAACATGATAAAAACAGTTTTCCCAAGAGAATTATTGTGTTATTATATTCATTTGAGAGTATGGATGTACTTGAGTTTCACCTGCCTGCATAAAAAATTTGCATAGAAAAGAACGACTCTGAAAATCAGAATTGTATACCAGAAGAACCAGAAAAGGAATGTGATCCTAAAAGATTGTACTAAATTAAGATAACATTAGTAGACTATACTGCAACAACCTTGGTAAACCACCAGCCAGCATTTTGTATGATTAAATATTTTCTTAGTTAATAATTTAGTAGATTTTTGTCCGGAACAAGTGTTGCAATCAGGTTATGGCATCAAGATAACTGTAGTCACCAAACTTAACCGCACCTCTGATAATTCTACTTACCACAACAAGATGTCCTCTTCCCCGCTTCAGCATGTAAGGCACAAGCATCCGCGTCATCGATATGGGGCCCACGACATTCACATTTAACATTGCCTACTAACAGATCAGATATGATATAAGTATTTGAAGCAGCACAATAGAAACATTTCATAATCGGATGTCATATATTATCAGGTCGCCATGGGTAGATGGACATCCACAGAACAGACCTGTTCAAAGAAACTAATGAAGAGTCATTAGAACCTCAGGACTTTTTTTCTGACAAATCCTCTGTAGAGATGGATAGCAAAACCATAAAAACATGCTCATGCTTTAGATGACAAAAGTGTCCACCGAAAAAAAGAAGAAAAAAAGCAGCTTCCCTTCTTTTAATAAAAGTTACTCCAATATATTATTACAGGAGGGGCCTGCATCTAAAAGAACTTTTTTCTGCCAAGCTAATTATATACAAACTGGCATCTCTACAAGCTGCTAGACACCTAGAAAACGTACATAGCCCATATGATGTACATTTGAGACTAGATGAAATTCAAGTGATATTTATAATTTCCTTTGCATTGCTTGAATTCTTTTTTCCCTCCATCCTCCTGTTTTTGCAGTAATTGTAAAACTCTGCGATCAAGCTCCCTCTAAGTCTCCAAGTTTCACCTCTTCCCTTCTTCTTTTTTTGAGAATGGTATCAATTTCTATATATCAGTGCACAAACACAGTGCCAAAACCATACGTATAAATGTGAAGCTAAAACCGAAAAAGCTATCCTTTTTTTTTTTGAAAATGGTAATTGTTTCTATTTCTGTAGAACAATACATAGGTTGTACTGAAACTGTATTTACATAAGGAACTCTAATAATACCAACCTATCCCTATAATGAGTCTAAGACACCAATGATAGAGACAGAGAAAGGTTCCTCTCTTTCAATATTGTCCACCAAATAGTGGCAGGGACAATTCTCCAGTTACTTCTGTTTTTTGCTTGTGTCCCTTCTTCTTCCCAGCTATATAGAGCCTCTGAAATCTCCCAGGCATGGACCAGGACATGTTTAAGTCTCAGGAACAAATTCCACAACTGGCCACTGACTTCACATTGGATGAACAAAGGATTGACTGTTTTTGCAGTTTTTCCACAGAAAAAACATCTAGAGCAAAGTGTAATTCGCCTCTTCACTAAATTGTCCTGTGTCAATACTGCTTCTTTAGCCAGTAACCACACAAAGCAAGACACCTTGTAGGGGATTTTGGCTTTCCAACATCTAGAGCAAAGTGTAATTCGCCTCTTCATTAAATTCTCCTGTGTCAATACTGCTTCTTCAGCCAGTAACCACACAAAGCAAGACACCTTGCAGGGGATTTTGGCTTTCCATATATGTCTCCAAGGCCACTTGAGTAACTGTAGATTTTGATGGTTCAACTTCTTGTATGCTGCACCTAGTTTAAAAATCCCTTTACTGCTTCCCAACCACTGCAATCTGTCCCGCCCTGTTTCCAAACAACTAAACTGATCAATGCTTCTAAAAAATTCGGTTACTCTTGGGATTTCCCAGTCATTGAGGTGTCTTCTAAATACAAAATTCCACCTTTGAGGAGTGCATAAGTGAGCTATAGTACTTTGTTGCTGAAGAACTAAATTGTGAATGTTAGGGAAGAGAGTCTCCATATTTTCTTCTTCATGCCAATCGTCCTTCCAGAATCTAGTTTTAATGCCATCTACCACTTTGATCTTGGTGTTTAGTTTGAATTCATTCCAAAGTTCTCGAATGGATTTTCATAAGCTAACACAATTAAGGGGTGGTAACCTCCTTTGTCATCCAACTATCACTCTCTTCATAGTTTTCCTTTATGACTGAGCCCCACACATTCTGATTATCATTTGAGTACTTCCAAAGCCACTTCATCCTCAAAGCTTTGCTCTGGTTCTTCATGTTCTTGATCCCCAGACCCCCAACTCTCTTTGCAGTGATCACAGTTTTCCATTTGACTAACTGATACCTCTCCTTTCCTTGCGGGACAGGAAATAATGACATCATCTATGTTAGAAGTGCATCAAGTACAAAATTAATCAAAGTTAGTCTTGCCCCTAGTGAAAGGTACTGAGACTTCCACCTTGTTAACCTCTTCTCACACTTCTCAATCACCCCATCCCAGATTTCCACAGACTTGGATTTTACCCCCGAAGGCATACCTAAGTATGTGATTGGGAGGACACCCGCTTCACCTCCAAGTATTGACTTCAAAATTTCCATGTTTCAAAATTTACTGGTTATAGGAAGCTTTTCCTCCCGTTGACATGTACCAAACCTAAATCTAAAATTTCTAGGATAGCTACAGTTTCTAGTAGGGGTTCTTCTTTACACCAAAAATGAAATAACAAAAGGGAGTTCATCTTGATCTTCGGAATTTGATTACCCATGCCTCCAATGTATCTCGAATTTCTTTCCCTCCAAACAGTCCACCAAATACATTTCAACAACATAGAAAGATGTTTTTGGCATTGTCCACCAAAGACTCCAAAGAGCTTTTTGGCACTGTCCATTTGATACCTCATGCATAGAAAGATGTTCCAGATTTGAGAAGTCAACCCACAATGTAACATAGATGACAGTTTCAGCTTCCTTACCACAAAGATATCATCTTGAAGATAATTGTATGTCTCTCTTTAAATTTCATGTGTTAAGCATGCCTGTTACTACCAACCAGATAAAGCATTCCATTTTATATGGAATTCTAACTTCCCACATGTGCTTCCATGGCCACAACTCTTAGTCTTGACTGATTGCGTGATTATTCTGGATCCTATATGCAGAATTGACTGTAAATTTTGCTTTGTTATGCCCCTGACACCACATCCTGTCAACACCACATCCTGTCAACTTCTGCACTAAGGATATACAGACATTCTCATTATATATAACTTACTCTGGAAATATGTCTTCTTTCCTAATGTAAATTGCTTATGATTGTCACTGAAAGGAAATATAATCTGGAAGGAACATATTCCTAGCAAAAAATATCATTGGAAACCAACAAATAAACAATAATAACTAAGGGTATTCTATATGTGGACATAATGTCGCAGTTCACAAACACTTCCTTGTGTTTTAACGTTTATATTTGAGAAGGATTGTGTTTTAACATCTTTTGTAAAACGAACTATTTGTGGTTGTGGGTGTGTACTACTGAATTGAGAGTCTGCTAGCTCTGATTAAAATGATTAAGCAAAGAACCCATGAACTGACTAGGGTGGAACTTTATAGGCTAGGCATGGATATGGACCTAATCAGTCCAACGTGGTTTATGAAGACATGATACCTTGAGTGTTTCTTCTGTCACATCCAGTGCTGTAGATTTCTGCAATAAAGAGAATTATATTATCTAACTACATCTTCATAACATTAACAATCATCTTGAATTGATCAAAGAAAAACTCGGTGAAAACCCAGATGTTAAAGTTCTGCAAGCTACAAAGAGAAAGTTGCAAATTTTAAATTGTCCTTCATAGTGATTTCTCTCACTCCCTCTCCCCACCCACCTGCATGTACTCCAGTGATAGTTATAAAAGATTTAGCACCATTTGTTTTTACAAGGGGAAAAAGGTTAAAAACTATTAGTTTACATTAAAACCAGCCACATTACTTAAAATTTTAATTTGACATCCTCAGCAAGTGTCAACCCTCAACCTACAAAGAATTCCACAAAATAAGGTTTTCTCTGATTCAAGAAACTTTTAAGTGTGAATTCTTTTATTGTTTTCTTCCAACACTACTTTGATAAAATTATATAAAAACTGACGTGGTATCATTTTGTTTCATCTCCAACCAAATAGGAGGCACAAAAGTTAAACATAAAGATTGACAAGAACACCAGAAGATATTTTTAAGAAGTGAAGGATGACTTTTTGTTGCACAACTCAATCGTCAAGCGCCATAACAGAAGTTCCCAGTTTCTTTAGATTGAAATAAAAATAGGACATAGTTGGCCAAACCATCTTCAGAAAATATTGAAGAGTCCAATTCTTCAAAACACCCTCATGTTCTATGCTTTTTATAGGACTAGCAAAAGAATCGAATATCCTCTATGTTAACAGGGTTCCTAATGGTCTGTTAATTTAATGTTGAAATATACGGGTTAAGAAAACTCCATAAGATGAGTTTGTTCATAACAAGCCCTTATATCATTAGCCCAAAAGGGATACTGACACCATGAAGATAATGAATCCAAATGAAAGCAGAAACAAACTAAAATAATTGATTAGAACCTGAGTTAGATGCAAGAGAATAATTTGGCCAATAATGGAAGTTCAATTAATTATGGGCTTCTTTATCAAAAATATTGTGGACTTACTGGACGCTCATAGGCTGCATTGTGAATCATATAATCCACTCCAGCTGCATCAAAAAATGATTCAGCTTTCTCTACAGCCAATCTCAGACTTTCCTCCCCAGATGTCAAGTCCAATGGTAAAACCATCACATCTCTTGGTGCATATTTTCCTGATTTTAACAGATACAATAATGCCTAAGTATAAAGCAGGATAGTAAGCAGAGAAGTAAGAAAGAAAGAGGCTTATCCTGCATCACTTAGAAAGCGTTACCTGTAAGTTGTTGCTTGACATGCTGAAGCTCAGCTTCATTTCGAGCAGATATAATGAGTTTTGCTCCTAAACTTGCAAGTTGTTTGGCAAGAATTTCCCCTTTTCACCAATATCCAAAAAATAGCAACGAATGAAAATGACAACAACAAGTAAAAACAAAGATAAGAAGTTCTTTATGTCAGTAGACGAAATATTTTAGCAGCAATAGGGAGACGACAAACTTATGACAGTTATTCTTCTTTTTTTTTGACAAGGAACCCCGCAGCCACTACCATTTGGGTGTGCACAGGGTAAAAAACCCTCTCCTATGCAATAGCTCACCCGCACTAGGCAAGCCTGGTGCGACGAGCTAAAACTAGAAGGCAAACCCTTTGCTTTCGCAAAGAGTTTCAATCAAACATGAATGGTCAAACTTATGACACTTAATAGACAAATGATCATAGATTCATAGTATAAAAGACAACAAGTTCAACTGTTATGTACTTCGAAAGAACTAGTTTCATATAAATAAATTTCTTTAAAAATCACCATAACTGGAAAAAAACAAATACCTATTCCACGACTAGCTCCAGTAATCCAAATAACCTGCACGGCTTAAAATTGGGCATCAAAAATAGTACTCCAAACACTTGCTATTTACGAATTTCTTAATAATCAAAATTCAGAAACACAAAAATAGGTAACCTTATCTTCAATTTCTTCGCGTTTCACTTTCCCTTTTGATAATAATGTGAAATCCCCTGATAACAAAATTTTGAAACTTCAGTGTTCTGTTCTTATCGAATTCAGATTCAAATTCAAGATGCATCCATATCAAATAGTTACCATCAGCAGTGAGGAACTTGATGAACAAGAACGCGAAGATAACAAGGAACACCAAATACAAGATCATCATATTTGTCAGTCTATTAATCTCACAATTTCTAGCGTTCGCCGTATATATACTTTTTGTTTTCCATTTGTGTGAAACAAATATAATTTGGAGGGTTAATTAAATCTTTAATACGATTTTTTATTTTTACTAGTTTTTCAATTATCAATTTAGAAAATTTAAGCAAAGATTTGAATAATAAGTTTTGCACAAAATAATATTGCAGATTATTTTGTGAATGTTCAATGTGGATCATCATATATATCTCTTATTCACACGAACCTAGTTAATGAAAAATTTATTAGTTAAATGCAATAATGTATATATTTATTTCAATTTGATGAAGTCAATCATGTAATTAGTCGTATCTCACTAATATTACATTATAGACGATATTTGTTGTGTATTTTTCTTATTATCTAACCAGATGTGCTTTGCACGTGTATTCCACTTAAATTGTTTAGATGTCATATGATCATGTGGAGAATAACCACATTTTATTTTTTAGAACTATTTTTGTACATTAATTTTTTATAAGTTATAACATAATAGATGACGTTCTTTTTGTTGGCTCTCATATTTGACTTTTCGATTGACTGTGTACATAAATCATGACTGTCCATAGTTAACTGAGAAAGGTTTCTTTTTTTTTAACGAAAAAACTAAAAATTAAAATTAAAGAATATATTTTATCTGTGAAATAATATATATAATCACATGTTTATCTTACACCCAACAAAGATATAGTTCATATACTTGTAAACAATTTTCAATGTATTCAACCAAGCATGATTCGTCCAAGGAAAAATAACAACACCGTGTTATCATATAAATAGGGGCGGTATAATAATATAAAAAATTATTGGTCAAAAGTTAATATAAGGAAAGATGAAAGATAAAAATAATTAATGTAATAACTATGAGAATTCATAATATTATAACTAATGAGTGTAAAAGAGTGTGAATAACATTTGCAATAATCATATATCATTATATAGGGGTGTACATGACCGGGTTGGTTCGGGTTTTTTAAATATCAAACCAAACCATTTGTGTAAAATTTTAAATTTATAAACCAAACCAAACTAATAAAATTTGAATTTTTTCGTTTTTTCAACCTCGGGTTGGTTTGGGTTTTTCAAATACCAAACCAAACCATTGTGTCGAATTTTTAATTTATAAATCAAACCAAACTAATAAACCTCAGATTTTTTCAAATTTTTAGATTTTTTCGGTAAAGTTTGCATACAAACATATAATTAACTTGTGCTCCAAATATTTCTTTAGTCCAACCAAAATATTATTATCTAAGGTGTTTCTTAAAAAATACCACAAAATATGAGATGAATACTGGAACACCCCAAAAAAATTTTGAGCTAAGACTTGAACCGTTCTTCGTAGTGAGTGAGATTTTTGCAAGGAATTTAAAATTTCTTGAGTATTAAGGTCTCTAGATGTAGCACCTTGAGTTCTAAGAAGAACCAAAGAGAAAGGCATTCAAGTCATTCCTAGTTTTTCTTAAGTTTTGGGTCAACTTCAAACGACCATAACTCCTAGTACAGGATGATTTAGGTGATCTACAAGATATAAAATTAAAGCCCTTTGAGTCTTCTTTCCAACGCCACCGAGTTTGCAAAATTCCGAGCTCTGAATAAAAAGTTATGACAGATTTACTAACGTCGCGCAAATCTGGCAGCAGCTGCGCGACGCGGAGCCAATACGAACCTCACTGCCTGGTGAAAAATCATTCCGACTCCCAGCTCGTTTTAATTATTTCTTTAAGGGTATTTTATTCCTAAAACCCCTTAGGAGGTCATCTAAATTACCCTAAACGAGTAGAAAATCAGTTTTTCACAAATCAAAACCCTCTCATCCACTCTAAAGATTCCATGCTCAAGAAATTCAAGAAACGCTAAGGCTAGGGTTCATCTCTCAAGATTTTCCTTCAAGTGTTGCAAGAAGATGGTTCTTTCAGGTATGTAAGCTTCCATAATGTTGGGTTTGTTCACTCACACGCATTCTAGAAAGTTGAAACTTTGATGTTCTTGTTATGTATTTGTGAAATTGTTTTTGTTCTTGAATTGGGCTGAGATTGAGGAGTTCTTGAGGTTATTGTGTCAAGTTATAGAGTTGTTAGAGTTAGATTCTTGTGTTCATGTGTTGGGTATCTAAATCTAAAGAGAGATTGAGAAAAAGAATCGAAGTTAGGCAAATTGGGGTTAGAAAACGAAGAAGAAAGGTGGTCGCGCGTTGCGCGCCTAGTGCCCAGGTTTGAAAATTTCAGCTCCGCGTCGCGGAGCTGACACGGAGTGTTCTGCCTCAAAATTCATTTTCAAAACCAAATTTTAAAAGCCTCTCTGCGTCGCAGACCCACTCTCAAATATTGGTTTTCAGTCTTTTCTCATGTTTAGCTATATAAAATCATTCCTAAACATCATGAGACCTTTCCCATCACAAATCACAACCTTGAATTCATAAATCACATTCAAGGTAGAGTTGAGAGTCAAGCCTTAGGAGTTCTTTCAAACATTTTGGGAAAGTCCCTTTGAATCTTTTGAGGAGTCTCTACAATTTCTAGTAACTTGTTTCAAGACTCGAGCAAGTGAGTATGAGAGTGAGAAGAATGTATTTATGAGTCTACATTGTCATCACGAGATCTTTCATATCATGAACCATAACTCTTGAATTCATAATTCACAATCAAGAGAGAGTTAAGAGTAGAGTTCAAGAAAGCCTTTGAGTTTAATTGTGAATCCTTTGAGATCAACTATCGATTGAAACTAAGTTTTGAGGAAGTAAGTCAGAGAATGAGAAGAGTCGTATACATGAGTTTCATATTATTATGTAAACCCTCGAGTCGAGTTGTTCATGCTCATAATTCTGCATGAACATTATAAGTCGAACAATCTTGAGATAAGAAGTAGCTTTGAGTTCTTGAGTTGAGTAGTTCATGCTCATAATTCGCATGAACCCTCTGAGTTGAGCATTCTTGAAATTAGTAGTATCATTGAAGTTCTTGAGTTCCAAGTATTGAGTTCTATATATGGTTACTGAAAACCTTGCATTGAGTCATTCATGTCCATCATTCGGCATGAACCATATTTTAAGAAGTCTTTTACAAATGTTTAAACTTTGTTTTAAGACTTAAGCTTTGAAGTTGAGTAAAGAGTAAGAGTAAAGTTGAAGTTCATTTCTTCAAAAGTATATGGGGACTATGTATTTCCAAAAGATTTTAAAATGTTTTCACATTTAAATAAGAACGAAAAACTGAGATTTTCAAAAGAGCCTTTGAACTAGTTTTTCAGTAAAGGGCCTTTGGGCTAGTTTTCAGTTAAAGAGTAAATGCTTTCACAATAAAGCAAGAGAGGAAACTTTGATTTCCAAGATAGTCTTTGAGCTAAGTTTTTGAGCACTAATCTCAAATCACAGAAAGAAGTATGTTTTTAAAACCTAAAGAGCTAGTATATTTTGGGAGTAGTATTGAGCACTGATATGGGGGAGAGTTCAGACAATTCACAGCCCCTGTAAACCATGTAGCCATCATGGGTAGAAAAGGGTCATACTTTTTAGATAAATCCTTTTCGCATGGACTAGTGGATCCACTTAGTAGTTCAGGTCCTATACTTGTGGCAAGGTATATGATGCGCTGGCAGCGTGAGGGAGATCGTTGTATCATCACAATAACTCTTATTTGATGGTTGTCGGTTAGAGAAACTCCCACAGAAGTTATTTGTATTTTTATATACATCAGCTTATTTGTATTTTTACATACATCTCAGAGTTATTTGTATCTTTGCATACATACAGAGTTGGCATCATGTTTTAAACAGTTTTTCTTTATATAACACTTGTTTTAAAACTACTTTATATTGAAATGAGTTCAATTATGTTGAGTTGAGTTGAGCCAGGTAAGTTTTTCAGTTTCCTTTCAGATTCTTTTCAAGCTTATGTTTATGCTTTAGAATTCCTCTTACATGCTCGTACATTTCACGTACTGATCCATTTGGCCTGCATCTTTTCATGATGCAGACACAGGTATTCAGGATCATCAATAGGAGATTCGTTGATACATCCGAGAGTTCGAGTTAGCTATGGTGAGCCTCCTTATTTTTTGGAGGATTTCATTTACTTTTCAGTTTAGTCAGGATGTCGCGGGTCTTGTCCCGACTTCCATCGTTATCAGTTAGAGTCTTCATAGATAGTCAGTATAGTTGAGAAGTCTGTTTTATTCATTTATTTTGTTAAATGTTTAAAGACTTAAGTTACCTATTTTATGGGGAATTGAATATATTATTTTATTCTAAGTTGTTCATTTGAGTTGAAGTTTTGTACAAAGTTGAGTTTATTGAATTTTATTCAGTTTTAAGCTTTTATATGCTTAAGTTAGTCTTCCGCTTGTAGTCAGCCAGGATGAGGATTCGCTTTGGGGACCAACAATGGTTCTTGAGTGCGGCCACGTCCAAGATGTAGACTCGGGTCGTGACAAGTACTGATGACACTAAAATATTCAATAAAAAATAATAATGAAATCATCATATAAAATAATATTGCAAAGTCATAATGAAAATGATCATAATTTAAAAGTACTAAGTCATGCTAAAATAAGTTTAATAAGTATTAGTTACATTACTAAATATTTACGGAAAATTAAAATTAGATTATGTATTTTAATTATCTAAACCATTCTAAAACTAAAGAACAAATATTCAATATTATTGTCATTCTGAGTGTTGAATTGATTTTGTTTTTGCATTAGTATTAATTTGATTTTGATTTAAGTTTTATTATAATTATCAACATCTATGAACTATAATCTTTATTGGATCATTCCGAATTCTAAGTTTTAAAATTTGAAATAATATATTAAAAGATAAAAACTATGAAATAGTATGAGAAATATTTTAAAATTATATCAAAGTAAATATTTTTATGTATAAAATAAAATTTTGAAATTACATATATAATGTCGGGTTGGTTTGGTCTCGGGTTGATATTTTTTAGTTAAAACAAAACCAACCCAAATATAGTCAGGTTTTTTTTTCCAATTCCAAACCAAG